ACGGCTGAGTGTCTGAGCGGCTGGTTTCAAATACGGGCCTCTGTGCACGCTCTCTCGTAAGATCTAAACTCGAAGCCCCGCAATTCCAAAACAAAAAACCGCGCCCTCCTGCCCTCAGGGTGCATTAAACAATTCAGGGAATCCTTCGAAAGGGAGAGAGCACCTGGGATCCTTGGGAGACCCTTTTAAAGGCATTTCGGGTCCGATGAAGTGGAGGACCTACCGGGAGCTCTCCAAGAAAGAGCACCCGGACAAGAACCCGGAGTCCGCTGAACGCTTCAACATGTGCTCCTGGCTCGGTTTGTGGGGGGTTTTAGGGTTTATAAGGGTGGCAGCAGTGGGTTTGAGGTTCAGGGTTTCATGGGGTTTAGCTTTAGGAGGAGTTTAGGGCTTTTTAGGGGTTTGGGGACTTTCTGGGCGTCGTGCGTTTGGGGCTTCAGACCTTCCTTGAGGTGTGCAGTTGGTGTGTGACATGAAGCATCTAGCCAGGATCAGAGATGCCTACGAGATCCTCAGCGATCCAGTGAAAATGCTCCTGTATGATACAGGCCCGGCTGTGGCAACCGTTTCGGGCTTAGGTTCAGGGTCGCCCCGCCATCTGCATGGTGACACAGCGTGCCCATTGCAAAACAACCTGCCATTTCTTTGGCCTGTGCTGGCAGGCGGCATGGATCTGATCAAGAAGTATGAGAAAGGCAGGATCAGGGGCCACGCATAATTTCCCTCCTTCGCAGCCGCATTTACGCACTCTGTTCAGAATTGAGCCCTCAAGGCCAAGACGACCCAAGACGGCCTGAAGTGCTAAAGCCCGCAACAGCACGTTCTGACATGTGCGCAACCGTGCGCCAGATGGCGATGGTGAGATTGAACGCGTGGATAACTACGAGGCTGGCACTTTCCGGGAGGATGCTATCGGGCCCCAAGTCCCTAAGATGTAAGCGGCCTAGCTTGCAGACGTGGGGTTGGTGTTCTTGGTCTCAAGGTGACCCATGAGATCTCCCTGGAGGAAGCCTACCAGGGGGGTGAGAAGGACTTCTGCCCCTTTTTTCAGACACTGCAAGTGAGTCTATCTCACGACGGTGGCAACATTTAGTTTCCGCCGTCGTTTGCGAGGAGATCCTTGTGAACCGCAGGGTCGTTTGCAGGCAGCCGCTTTCGCCCGAGTGCCCAGGGCTCGGGATGTGAAAAAGCCAGCTGCGCCAGGTCCTGCCGCATGCGGCCGGACCTCCAGCGCTGTCGGAAGTGTCAGGCGCTTCTGCATCCTTGGAGGCTTCAATTTCGAGGTTTTTGGGGATATACCCTAAACCCTAAACCCTGAACCCTAAACCGTGTTATGAACTCAAGAAGGCACCCGGAATCCCCGCTCTTACAGGCCTGCCCTGGCCAGCGCCAGCAGCGGCAGGTCTGGCTGGACCAGTGGCCTGGATGCTTTTTAGGGCCCTTTAGGGTTTAGGGTTTGGGGTTTTAGGAATTTAGGGTTTTAGGGCTTACGGTTTAAAATTTTTAGGGCTTAGGGTGTACGGTTTAGGGTTTATTCGTCAGGGAGATCCCTGAAGTAAGGAATCAGGAATACATTGATTGAAGTGTTGGGCTCTATCAGGGTTTGTAGGGTGTTCTGTTCTTGGGGTCTGGGGTGGGCAGTTCCCCAGGTGGCACTACCGGGTCGAGGAGATCGAGGCAGGGCTTGCGGCGCCAAGCTTGAACGATCTTACCCTAAAGCCTAGACCCCCTAAACCCTGGCCCTAAACCCTAAAGCCCTAAGCCCTAAACCCCTAAACCCCTAAACTCCTAAAGCCCTAAACCCCTAAAGCCCTAAAGCCCTGAAGCCCTAAAGCCCTGAAGCCCTAAACCCTATAAGCCCTAAACCCCCCGGTGACGTCGGCGTCGAAGGTCCCTAGCAACGAGAAGTGCACCTGGGACCGGCAGAAGCTGAAGATGCAGATCGAGCGTGGCACCATGTGCCCCGGCCCATGGGTTTTTAGGGTTCTAGGAGTTAGGGATAGTTAGGGTACTATAATCTTGCTGATATCCAAGAAGCTTTGGGATGCTAGCCGAGGTTTGGGGACCGTGCACACTTCCCGCACATGGGAAGCCAACTCCCCAAGCACATTCCAGGCGGGCTCTGTGTTGCTAATCAGGGTGCCAGGTCACGTCATCGTAAGTCCTCCACGCAGGTGATGCTCTCGTGATCCTGCGTGCCGCGGTCTCAGAACACGAGTGCGAGGCTTGTTGTAATCAGTTAGGCTTACTTAGACTTGCGATGAACGGCCCAGCTCTTGCCCCCGCTCTTGCCCCCCAAGCCCTGAACATTCGTAAAGCCCGAAAGCCAAGGTCAAGAAGCATCCGGTGTTCAAGCGGCTAGGCGATGACCTCATGGTCGATGTGCGCATTAGCCTCTACGAGGTGCCCGCCTGGGTTGTTGTATCTCCTGGCATACATCAGCCCTTAACTCTGAATTCCCCCAAACCCCCAATCCCAAACCCCACAAAACCCTAAACCTCTAAACCCCTGGACCCTAAACCCCCTAAACCCCCCAGCCCCAAAACCCCTAAACCCCCTAAACCGCCTTTGCCTCGGCAGGCCCTCCTGGGCTTCAAGCGCGAGCTTACCCACTTGGATGGTCACATCGTGAACTTCAGCATGGAGCGAGGGGATGTGGGGAGCCTGGGGGGGGGTTCTCTTGTAGCAGCAGTCGTCTCACCTTTGGGGAAAGCAGGCTTCCTCTATATATGTGGAGAGGTAGATAGATAGGTGGATAGATGAATATAATAGCACCTCCAAGCCTTTTTTGGGCTCCCTTCGCCATCTTGGTGCCTCGAATTGGCTCCGGTCATTCTGTCTATATTCTGGTCGAGCACCTGCGCCCCGAATCACAGATATGATGCAAATGAACGGTCTGCAACGTCCCTCCCCAAGACCCAGTTGTGTAGGTTTCCCGGTCCCTGCAGTGAGAGGTGCTGAAACCTGGTGCAGCCCTGGAAATCCAGGGCGAAGGCATGCCGCACAAAGAGGCCTGGTTGGGGCCTATGGCTCATGTAGCACATGGACTTGAAGAGCATAAGACTTGCCGGGTGGTCGGGCTACAGGGTTCCTAGCGTGCCGCTACCAAGCTTGATTCTCAAATTGTCAAGTACATGTACATCAGCATACAACGGCGGCTATCAAATACCGAGACATCTAATCATGAGTAGACATATTTATCTATACACAGTACACGCACACGTGCCCTACATCAACATGTAGTGGTGTGCCATGGTTTCCGACCATGGTAGTCAGATGCCCCCGGTCCCGAAGCCCTGTCACTGACCCCTTGGCCCGAGAGCGGTGGAGGATCCAACCTCCGCCGGCAAGCTGGTGATCCGCTTCCACATAGACTTCCCGCAGCAAATCAGTGCGGAAGCAGGTGATGCTCTCGAGGTGGGAAATTAGGGTCGTAGCAGTAGTAGGAGGAGTGGCAGTCGGCGCCGTTTAGTGGATGAGTAGCAGGAACAGCAAGACAAGAGGCATGAACGCTTCCTTCATACATCGGAGCTTGCCAGCCCTACGTGCCACACTAAGCATACATCCCAGAGAGCCCAATACCCCTTAATTAAGGACTATGCCTTAAATTACGGGGGCCTTAATGTTATATGATTTAAGGTCTATTCCTTAATTGGAAGGGGTATTGGGCTCTCTTTGATGAGACCTCGGAGGCAGCCCTTGGACGCCTCCCTGGGCAGCAATCGAGAGATGTGCGCCTGAACCAGGGCAAGGCAGGGAGTCCAATTTTTTTGCGGACCTTGTTTAGGGTTTAGGGTTTATAAGGTTTATAAGGTTTAGGATTTAGGGTTTAGGGTTTGGGAGTGTGAATTTGGGATTCAGAGCTTTAAACTTTAGGGTTTGGGGCTGGGGAGTAGGTGTCAGGGAGCGAGACAAGGGCTGGCGTTGCGAGCTACTTCGACTCCTGCTGGATGCCAAACCACAGCCTGAAGTACTATACTGGGTACCCAAAAGGGGACCCTAATTCAGAGAACTATCCATATGGTTCTATGATAGGGTTCTTTTAAAGGTTTAGGCAGCATGCAGCGGGAATGTAGCTTGCCCAGTCATGAATGCAATCAGTCAACTGCTGGTCTTGCCGGTCCTTCTTGATTTTCTTGGCCAAGCATGTTTCTCCAACATGGTCGCCGTCGCATTTACGTGCATCCTGGTCTTGCTTCAGGATGCTCTCCCGGCAGTTGAAATTGCGATGCAGCTTTGGGTGATACGTTATTCATTGTGCTAAAGGCCTACACCCCAAGACTTGCCGCCCGTATGGTACTGCAGGCCGGCACAGGTCTTCGCAACGAACTCTGAGTGCAGGCGATTTAGAGCAACGGTGTATGCTGTGAGATGAAGATGCTCGGTTTTTGAGGACCGTAGTATAGGCAAGCGATAGTATGGCTGTGGACTGACGGGAAAAGCCAGCGCAGAGCACTCCCCATTTGCAGACCAAGGTTCAGGCTTGAGGGCGTCCGGAAGGGGGTGCTTCAGGACTTATTTTCTTTTTTTCAGAATGCAGCATTGCATAAGTAGTCATATTGGCACTTGCGTCAATGTAGTGCTACACCTGACATGATGATGCTGGTTGTCTTGCAATGATGTCGCAGCGCAGCGTGCAGAGGATGCTACACCTTGCCTTCTGCTGCCGCACCAGATTCGCCTAGCTAGGACGCTAGCTTCCGAGAAGAAGGGTCTCTTGATGAATCTTGGTATTTCAAGCTTCGACAGCAATCCTCTGACCGTCCTTTGGCGTTTGCGGGCCCAGATTTTCGGAAGCTATCGAACATTCGAGTGTGTCGTTTTGTTCATGCAGAGTGGGAGCGGCAGCATCGGCACTGCACCTGACCTGACTCTATGCATTGACTACCTGGGCTTGTTTAGAGTTATCATAGCTTTAGACTCTGGGCGTGAAGCCCTTCTGGGCCGGCTAGGAACGGCTGGAAGCTCATAGGCGCCGGACTGAGCAAGTGTTGCCCGGATGCTGCCGCTTGCCGCTTGCCATCCCGAATTGTCTGCAGGATGTCATGGGAGTTTCCGAGAAATGGGGCACACTGATAGCCTCAGGGTCGTTGGGTAAGGTTCTGGGGTTTTGCGGTTTCAGGTCTTGACGGTTTAGAGAAGAGGATGTTGCAGGCAAGCGACCTTGGCCGAGCCAAAGTGCAAGCACCACCAGAAACCTCGAAGCCCCGGCGCTGAGAAACGTCTGCGAGTTGAAGGCTTGCTCAGAGCATCTCTGGATGAGGTCATTACCCTTGCTCGTGTCAGTGTTCGTTAAGCCCGTCAATGTGCTTTGCCAGTCTACTTTCAGCATGGTGACACAACCTCCACTGGCAGTGGTGTCGCTCCTCCTTCTTTGGTTTGCGTGTTGCGACTTGTTGCAAGCTTGGGCGAGGCAGATTCCCTGACGGTGCTGCTCCAAGGGTCTTTCATCGAGGAGCAGTGGCCTAAGGCACTCAGGGAGTCAGTAGCCGAGACTCCAGAGGCGGGTCATCTTCGGAAGAGGACTGGAAAAAAAGTTCCTGTAAATGCGTATAGTCCTGGCAATGCTACGACTCCTGCTGCTCGTATGCCCTTATTGCTGCTACTGCTGCTACTACTACTAATACTACCTACTGCTACCACTGTTGCGTACGACGACGACTCCCACTGCTGCTGCTGCCACTGCCGCTGCCGCTGCCACTACCGGTGGTAGTACTGGCGTCAGTCAGAACACTCGTAGCCATCATCATCATCATCATCATCAGCATCATCATCATCATCATCATTGCATTAATCAGTTCTCGTAAACCTCTCAGAAGGGTCTGCCCAGGCTGGAGACACAAGTGCTGCAAGCTCCGTTGGCGCTCGGCGAGGCCTAGACCTAGACTCTCGCGCCTTCGTGCTTGCCAAGCTGGGCTTAGGGATTGTACTTTTAGGTTCAGGGTTTGGGGTTTATCGGATGTAGGGCTTAGAGTTCAGGGTTCAGGGGTTGATTTGTGCTGTAAAGGCGGAGTTCCTGAACATTGCGGAACTGCCCATTCGTGAAAAGCGGCGTGTCCGGGCAGTGGATGGCGACTGCACGGTGAAGGCCAGTTCAGGTGCTGTCGAGTCCTGGCCGTCAGTCAGTCCAGTAGTGCACAGACTAGCGGGTAGTGCGTCCACGATTCAGGCCGAGTGTCTACACCATGACAGACATGACAGAGGTGTCTAACATCAGATCAGGCTAGTATCGAAAGGATCAGCAGGGACAGGCGTAGATATTGGTAATCATAGAGACACACGAGTCCAGGAGTAAGTTAAACCGTAGCAGGACCTACAGCACAAAGCACAGAGTTAGTAAGACTCGCATCAAGATCTTGTTATGGCCAAGCCTGAGAATCGCAAGGGCATCTCCGACACGACTGTCATCCTGAAACCTCCGTTATCATCACCACAACCATCACCGCAACCATCACCATCACCATCACCATCACCATCACCATCATCGTCATCACCATCATCATCACCATGTTCCATCATCATCACCGTCGTCGTCGTCATCATCATCATCATCATCATCATCACCGTCGTCGTCATCATCATCATCATCATCACCGTCGTCGTCATCATCATCATCAGTACCACACCATCTCTGTTGCCATCGCAGCAAGAACAACACAAGTGCTGACAGGCATATCCTTGATAGAGTTGACAGGCGATTCACCGCGACGACTTCCAGCCTCTAAGCTGCAGCTGAGACCCCAAAGGGGAGGTCGTTGGACTTCCAGGGGTCTGAAAGGCCTCATGGGTCGAGAGCGTTTGTTTAGGGTTTAAGTGAGCCATGTGTAGAGCCACCCCGTCTGCTGAAGCATTGCCCAATGCTCTGGACATCCATTGAGATCGAGGGGCAGGATGGCGGCAGCTTCAAGGCATAAGGTGCCTCAGTGATTGCTGGTAGTTGTCCCTTGCAATCCCTGTAGTTACTTATCCAAGCCCGCTTGAAACCCCCGCACGCTAACTCCCACGATGTTGTGCGCGCGTACGTACATACATGCGCAGGTATACACAGATAGATGAGGAGGTAGGTAGATAGATAGATCACATCAGAAATACTCACTCTCAACCCTGAAGCCCTCGATGTTCTGAATGCTAAGCCTTCTGGGAGTACCGATGCGGGATGGGCACCTCTCAGGTCTTCTCTGCAAAAGTTCCCCGAGGAGGCCAAGGTGCGATGCTCGGGGAAATCGATGTGGGGAGAGGGGTTTTATGGTTTTCGGGTTTGGGGTTCAGAGTTCATGGGTTTTGGGGTTCAGGTTAGGACCTCCTTAGGCAGGGTTATGCACCGCTGGACGTCGTGGGGCATGCAAGAGGATTTCGGCTCCGGGCCCCTAAAGCGCGACTCCGCCAACATGGCGTTCCAGGCAGACAGACTCAGAGAGATGGGTCCGCAAGACAATCTCAAAGCATAACAACACTTGTTTTTCTCCACCCTAAGCCCTTAACATCCCTTAACCCAGTGAGACCTTAGCCCTAAACGGCCCTAAACCTATACATCCTCTAAAGCCTTTGGATTCCAAACCCTAAACCCTAAACCCCTAAACCCCTAAACCCCTGAACCCTAAACCCTAACCTATACATCCTTTGAGGTCTTTGACCGCTTCCTCCGAGAGGCCTCGCGCTTCGCGGTGCCTGGGGCGCCCTTCGCAAGGGTCCAGGCCACGTCGCTAGGGCTTTGGGCTTTGGGGCTGTAGGGTTTGGGTTTTAGGGGTCTAGGGTTTAGGCTTTGGGGCTTTGGGGCTTCAGGGGCTCAGGGGCTCAGGGGGTTCCGGGGACGAGTAAGTTTTCGGGCTGCAGCCGAAGTCTTGCACCCTGCGACAGGAAGCCGCCGGGAGGAGGATACTGGCCTTCCTTGAAGCTGGACGAGAGTTCCAGGGCTGTCAGAGAGACTTCCTGGCCACGTTGTGCACCGAAGCCGAGGGGGTCTTGCTGGCACCCGGCGAGACCCTGCAAGCCGGCGACCTGCCCAAAGGGCATTGCTCGCTGTTCATCGTGCTGGCGGGACGAATCCAAGTCGCGACACCCGAAGGCATCGTCTTCCGCTTCGCAGGCCCCGGAGAAGTTCTGGGCTCGGCAGCCGCCTTGGACCTCGTGGATAGCTCCACCGAAGCCCTCAAAGCCCTTCCCGGCATGGGCCCCGCCTTCTGCGTCCGCATCCCCCATGCCGCGGTCGGCCGAGCTCTGCAAGACTGCCCCAGCAACGCGGAGCTGTGGATCAAGAATGCGGAGCTGCTGCACCGTGAGGCTGGACTATCTACGAGAAAGCCACAGCGTAGACGGCGTAGACCCGCAAATGGTGATGCATTGAGGCGAAGCGCAGTCCTTTCACACATCGCAACCGATACTGGCGGAGGGTTCGTTTGACATGATGTATGCATGTGCTGTGTTGCGGTACCTTGCCTCAGAGCAAGCTGCTTCTGCCCCTCGAGGCTTGCCGCAGCAAGCAGGAGCGCTGCCGATGGGCGGCGCAGGCAGCTGCCCAACTCTTTGAGATAGATCAAGCCCGGTATCAGATATGGTCTGTTTGGAGCAGTTGGGGTTTGCTTTGTAATTGAGTTCCTTGCAGGGCGCCTGCACTCCGGGGACCCAAAACCCTCCTAGATAGTTGTACCTCTAAATCAGTGAATCAGACCTGCCGGAATACTTGTGCGGCGGCCTCGAGAACAAAGAGACCAAGCGTATGGGGTCTGGGGCTTCTAGGCTTTGTGGATGTCTGAAGGTAAAGGGTCCGGCGTGGTTTTGGGTCTTAGGCTTGTGGTTCGCTCGGTTAGGAGATATCTACCGAGGCGTTGAAGCGTAAACTAAACTCTACGCCCGATTCGCCGTTCAGGGTAAACCCTGAACCCTAGACCCTAAACCCTAAACCCATCGGTCCGTCCTCCTAGACACTGCCTCCACCAGAATGGTATTGCCGACCAAGTGCGGGACGGAATAGAGGTGATTAAAAGAAAAACCCTAAATCCTGAACACCTTAACTGCTAGGGGGAAAAAGGGTGCTTAAAAGAAACCCTAAACCCTGAACAGCGCCGAAAGCCTGAGAAGGTCGCCGTTCCGGCCCTGGCGAGCACCTCGCTGCTTGCTGGTTGTCCGCAGGATTTCCTCATGTCCCTGGCGGGCCAGCTGTCTGAGGCCTGTAGAGTGGAGATGAAGGGTTTAGGGTTTAGGG